AGGACCAGGAGATGATGGGTGCCAAGATAGCTTGGGCAGGACCTGGAGGAGATGACGGGTGCCAAGATGTGTCCAGCAGGGTCAAGCAGAGATGATGGGTGCCAAGATGAGTTTGGCAGGACCGGGAGGAGATGATGGGCACCAAGATGGGTCCAGGAGAAACAGGAGATGATGGCTGCCATGGTGGGTCCCACAGGAGGAGATGACGGGTGCCAAGATGCGTCCACCAGGGCCAAGCAGAGATGATGGGTGGCAAGATGAGTTGGGCAGGACCAGGAGGAGATGATGGGCACCGAGATGGGTCCAGTAGGGTCAAGCAGAGATGACGGGCACCAGGATGGGTCCAGAGAAGCAGGAGGAGATGATGGGTGCCAAGATGTGTCCACCAGGGCCAAGCAGAGTCGATGGGTGCCAAGATGGTTTGCGCAGGACCAGGAGGAGATGACGGGCTCCAAGGTGGGTCCAGGAGGAGCAGCAGGACATGACAGATGTCAAGATGTGTCCAGCAGGATAAAGCAGAGATGATGGGCACCAAGATAGGTCCAGCCGGAGCAGAAGGAGATGATGGATGCCAAGACGGGTCCGGGAGAACCAGGAGAAGATGACGGGCACCAAGATGGGTCCAGCATGAGCAGGAGATGATGGGTACTGAGATGTTCTGGGCAGGGCCAAGCAGAGATGACGGGCATCAAGATGGTTCCAGGAGAACCAGGAGGACACGACGGGTGCCAAGATGGGTCCAGCAGGGCCAAGCGGAGATGACAGGATGCCAAAACGGGTTGGGCAGGACCAGGAGAAGATGACGGGCACCAAAACGGGCCCAGCAGGGCCAAGCAGAGGTGACGGGCACCAAGATGGGTTGGGCAGGACCAGGAGGAGATGACGGGCACCAAAACAGGTCCAGGAGAAGCAGGGGGAGATAATGAGAGCCAAGATAGGTCCAGCAGGAGCAGGAGGACATGACCGGTGCCGAGATGGGGTGGGCAGGACCAGGAAGCGATGACGGGCACCAAGGTGGGTCCAGCAGGAGCAGGAGGAGATGATGGACGCCGAGATGGGTCCAGGAGGACCAAGCGGAGATTACGGGTGCCGAGATGGGGTGGGTAGGACCCGGCACGGATGATGGGTGCCAAGATGAGTCCAGCAGGGCCAGGCAGAGACGACTGGGGTCGGGATGGGTCCTTCAAGGCCAGGAGCAGACGACGGGTCCAGCAGGGCCAAGCAGACACGGTGGGTGCCGAGACAGGTCCTTTGGGGCCCGGTGGTGCCCATGTGCGGCGAAGACGGGTCCGGTGCGCTGCCAGGGACGGGCACCGTGACGCGCGCGGGCAGCGACCTGCCTGCCCGGCTCCTCCAGCGCCCCAGGACGGGCGACCGGCCGCAACGAGCCACCCGGGGCAGGGCCGCCCCCGCAGGCACCCC